ACTAGAAAATCTAAAAATCGAAATAAATACATATTTTCAAAATAGTAGTGTGGTACAATGTCGATTATAACACTTTTGTGATAAACAAAAATTCAAATTTCATATTTAAAGATGTTACATTCACTAAGAATGACAGACTAAAATATGGATCAACAATTCCAAAAGAAGTTGCATCACTTGGAGTTGATACTTTTCGGTCATTAAACTCCATCGACTTTATAATTCTTCCCCAAAACGTCACACAAATACATGAAAGGTGTTTCGAAGGTTGTTCAACACTAACTTCTCTCCAAATCACAACAAATCTGATGAAAATAGAACCTGGAGCATTTTCAATGTGTCGAACTCTAAAAATAGTGTTATTACCATTACAAATACTTTATCATTCTACAGCACAATCTGATATTATAAATGGTTTGTTTATAAACTATATTTTTATAACAATTAAATTATTATTGATAATAATTATTCTATAATACTATAATAAAACAACTCATGTGAAGTAGACGTCAATAATTATAATCAACCAAAGAGTTACTTGGGTGGGTGTTGTTTCAATTGTTGTGAATCACTTGTAGAAGTTGAGCTTCCTGATTTCTATGAGTATTATGGAAGTGATTGCTTCTCAAAATGTTCGAGTCTTCAAACTATTAAAATATCAGAGAGTGTCACACATCTCAATGATTATTGTTTCAATCAATGCATTTCATTGAGTATAGTAGTGTTTAACAAAAACTTGCGATTTATCGGAAATAGTTGTTTTGCGTACTGTTCTTCACTCTGTGAAATAAATCTCCCACCAACAGTTGAAAAACTTGGAACTCTTTCATTTATAGAATGTAAAAATTTGATGGTATTAAGTGTGCCTGATAATACAACGTATATTGGTGAATACTCCTTTGACCACTGCAACAAACTTTCAAATATAACATTTAACACAAAACTCGTCGAAATTCGAAACAACACTTTTTCTTATTGTGATTGTCTGACAAATGTATTTATACCAAAGAACATTAAGATTATTGAAAAATATGCGTTTCAAAAATGTAAAAATTTGAATATATTTTTTAAATAGAATAACGTTATTTACAATAAACAATGCTTTTAAACGTATTTAAAAATCAATTGAACGCATATAAAAGTTCATGTGTTGTTGTCTTTAAACAAATTTCTATGTTTAACTTTCGTTGTTATATATAAAGATTTATATTTTATAATTATG